TAGTATTTTCATTATTTTTGAAACATTGCTGCAATATTACTATCGAGAGTTTGCAATTTTATATCCTTGCAATGTCTCTGCAAGATTGCACTGCAATCTGCAAGATTGCAACGTTTCTGCACTGTAACTGCAACCATCTGTGCTGTATGGGGAGCCTCCTGGTCTCTAGTCTTCATGAGGAACACGCTGATTAAGACCTGCATACTGGTGCATATATCATAGGTGGACACCGCATGGCCGAAATCGGAACATGGTTCTCAGCCTGAATTTCCCTTGAAAATTATCGCTCTACGTTCGGAAAGATGTTATTTTATTTAAAAAAAATGTATCACGTGTGGTAGAGAGTGCGTCTCGCAGTTACCGCGTTGCCTCTTGACGGCGATTGCTTCTCGTCAGATAATTTGGGGACCCTGTATAAAGTTAAATAATGCAAATTGACTTTTTTAGCGTCCATAATTTTAGTTATAACTCCGCGCGATTGTTATACTCGTCAGTCTCTTTATATTCTCCGCAGTTATAACCGTTTATCGCGATCGCACGGTCGCGACGATTGCGTGTCGCGAACGTTGAGGACAATTTACACGTAGCCGCGCCGAATCGGTCTCTCTCGATTGAATTGTTAACCGCACGATCGTTGACGATCGTAGATATCACACGTACTTTCGTTGGTAGGTTCGTAGATTGAAAACTTCGTCGTACGACCTTTTCTAGACCCAATCGATTCTAACGAGCCGCGCAGGCATTCAATATTCCTACTGGCGAGGGTATGGCCAATTTTTCAATATACACATACCCGCATCGGCCGATACTTGTATTTATTAGAAAAATTTAGCAACTCGCCCGATCCGCGGCCAACTTTGCCCTTCGCGTCGATCTGTCGTAGTACATCGAGCACGCTGATGCTTATCGGAAAGGTACCTTCGGTCTTATCAGTCTGTGTTTTCCCGGCATTTTTCCCCCCCGGCGATAGTTTCGCAATATCTGCCATTCAATCGTATCGCCGATATTGAAGCGCTGACAAGAGATATTGATCGCCTGCGGACTCCTCGTAAGCGTTCATAGCGTGTAACGTGTTGTAGATGTATGTACATGCGTGAAGCATCGATTTTCTAATGTATCCGTTATTACGAGTCGTAGGCGTGCGAGCGTTGCGGGCATACGTCAGACTAGCCGAGTAGCGGAAGCCTGAGGCGGCGATTATGGATTATCAAAAGCGATTACAATGAAACACCAAAGCTACCGTAGTTAGCTGTTACTTAAGTATAAACGAGAATAATGATATAGTTACGATTTATATATATGCGTACACTGTACATTTAGGATAAATTTGCGATTTAAGCGCGCGGTCATCAGACTTGGGGAAAATTCTGTCACTCTCAGAAAATCTGCACGTCACGTATTGTCGATTTACGCTCTATGCGAGGCGCATCGCGTAACGCGATCGCGGTCCACACGTACCCCTTTGAAGTATCGTCCGTCACCGTTGGCGGTCCGCGCGAAGCCAAGATCTCCGGGATCGTCGTTGATCGGTCGTCGTGATTGCGAGACTCGTCGCGGGGTTGCACGCGACGCAACTATCGCTCGCGCGGCTTCCCTCACTGTCGTTGCCGGGCCGATATCGCCCTCGCCGCAGTGGCTTTCACGGGAATCGGGAATGGAACATTGAATGGCGTGTTGCTAGGCTACGCGCGTGCGTTTCTATAACGACTAATCAACGACTTGATAACGGCGAGATTGCAGACATCGTAGTTTCCAATTTTCTGTCGCGGTCGAGCGCGGGACAACTAAGTTGAGCTAAGCCGGATCTGTATAAGTCACAGGATCTCGTACGTGCATAGGGCATAAGTAATCGGGAAGAACACTTAAGTATTGAATTTTATCAAAACTCAGGCAAGAGATTGGAACAAATTACGCTCAAACAAATCTAGATGAACAGACAGAAATGCCCGAGCTTTAAGTCCGACTTCGAAGTTGATGATTGAGTTCGAAATTAATGGTCGATCGGTTGGACATCGCTGATAGTCCAACCGAAAGTAATAGTCGTTGCAAACAAAAAGATAAACCCTCATTTGTTCCAACTCATGAGATTTAGGTCTAACTATATCGAGCAGTTCGAAATGTTCGATATGGGACGATATACACTATTGAAGCATCGATCTTGAAATTCGTGCCATTCGAATTGTTCACTCGCACGAAAATTCCAAGCACTATTAAGGCTCCCAGGTGCTCGGCCAGTGTTGGATTGTGATATTAAAAGCGAGAAATAAAACGCTGAAAATTCTTGCATCGCAGTTTTAAGAAGGTTCGAACGCTTCTTTCTAATCAATAAATATGTTATTAATAAAATCTTATTCAATGACTAAAAAAATAATTTCGTAATAATAGTAAGATTATTCGTATTTGTAAATGTCATAATTATTTATTATTTTAAAAATATCAAAATAAGAGTTTAAGACTCTCACTTGATGCAAATGCCAACGGTAGAAATCAAATGTGAACGTAAGATGTAAGTTATTTTATTTGATAAATAATCAATTTAAATTTATTTGAGTTCTAAGTATATAAATTAATACTTTAGTATTTAACTAATTACAATTTTACTTAATAAGCATTGGAAATAGTTTGTTTTATCTGCGACATTGTCACATTTCCACTTATGTGATTAGATCTTTAGGTACCTCGAGGTGTTTCTCTCCCAAGTATCTTTCTATTTGAAAACGCTATACAACCCAGCACAAAGGTAAACGTAAGTTCATAGAGAAATTATTTTAAAGAATAGAAGATCCTGCAGAGTTAGCAAATCCGAATATCTGAAGAAATCTTGAAGAAGCAGTCACAATCGGTTCGTCTTGAAGTTCATTATGGTGTAACTTCCCCAATCGTCATTATCGTATTCTTCAATTCCAACAAATTTCTAAAGAATAACAATTCGAGGAGGTAGTAAACTTAAAGGACGCTTTGCGAATTTATTGTGTGCTATCTAGAAAGAATTTTCAGTGTGTCATTTCTCGCTTCTGAGGTTACGATGCAACACGGCTGCAGTAAGCACTAGGAGCCTTAAATGTTTACCTTGGATTCGAAACTGTAAAGAAATTTATAAAATACTTCCTCTTTCCTTTTCATCTTCTTCTTTTACCTCGATGATCTCTCGTAATCTCCTTTATGATCCTTTTGTATTCCCCGTATTGTCTCACATAAAGATGCTGCACTTCGAGTCTGTGATCACACTGTCAGCAAAAATTGAGAGAAGCAAGAAGCTTTCGCCATTAAATGTCAGGACCGGGCTTGGAATGAGGGAACGTGTACAACGCCGATCATTAATTTGCCAACGCTTACAGGAAGTTGTAAAAAAAAATGATGTGGAGTGGCCAATCTCTATGGAAGTTTGTTTCAACGTCAGTCTTTTTAATCGGAGAAGCGGGTAATTCTCCTTATCCGAAGGAGAAATTATTTAATGTAAAATAAATTAAACCCACACAGCACAGAAAGATTGCAGGAAGATTGCAGAAATGTTACATTGCAAGATTGCAATATTGCAGCAACGTTGCGGAACATTGCTGCAACGTTTCTGGAGGATTGCAGTAACGTTGAAATGTCCGCCCTCAGAAAGATTGCAGTGCAACATTATAGCAATGTTGCAGTGCAATATTTTTGGAATAATTTGTTGTTGTACATAAGCTGCAGAGAATTTACTAATTACATCCGGGCCTTTTTCAATACATAGCAAGCTATTGCGAAGCAATCTAAGGAAGTTATGTCGCTTCGCAAGAGATGGAGATTGCGAGCAACACCGCACTGATAATAATTCGCGCATTATTGGTATCAACGAAAATATTATAAAATTCTCGTAATTAGAAAAATTTTTTAAATAGAAAATATAGTATGTTTATTATTTTTGAAACATTGCTGCGATATTGCTATCGAAAGTTTGCAATTTTATATCTCTGCAATGTCCCTGCAAGATTGCAACGTTTCTGCAATGTAACTGCAACCATCTGTGCTGTATGGGAAATAAATTGCTTTTATGCCCGACACTCGATCTGCTGTAAGCGTTATCACGTTAATGACTCCGTCACGAAATCGGTGTCTTTAAGAATAAAAGAAGGGATCTAGCCAACGGCCATTGATGCGCGCGATCAAAACCGCTGCGATTATCTCGCCAGGATCACTGTCGATGGAGATTTCTATTCCTTAGGATATACGAACGCGTCGTGTCTTCTTAGAGTGATCAGTGCCGTCCCGCGGCTACGAATTGTAGACGCAGATTTGACCGAGCGGGATCGCGTTGATTACTTCGACTTGAAGACAGCGACACATATTTATTATATATATCTTCCTATGGTCTCTCGTCGATGTATATTTATATATATATTGTAGCGTTAACCACGGAGATATGTATAATCAAACACTTTTCTTTGTTTTTGGAAATACCTACACGTTACATCTCTGCCAGCATGTTGATTGATATAATCAATGTGCGCCGTAAAACGTAATTCGAGAACCACGGGCACGCGTTTTGAGATATCGGGCCGAACTTTTCTAGCAGACTTTTGCTACATTTCCCACGCTGTTTCCCGCACTTTCTCGGAATTAATTGAACCGCAAACGAGCAGACATCGGGACAAACTTGGCGTCTCCCTTTGTTTTTGTATGTATCGCAACGGAAGACTACCAGTGCGCATAAATTGTACAATCACGGGATGCCGTATATTTTTTATAAATTTTTGTTACCTTTTTGCGAGACACGAAGCATATTCGCGGAAACGTTTCTCTAAGCAGACCTCGTGTAATAATCAGTAATTTTTGCTGATTGTAATCCGTTATTGAAAGGAAGGAAAGCACAAAAATTCTTAAGAAAATTCTCAAAAAGCAGAAAAATAAGGATAATTGCGCCAATACTTAGAAATGTTTATCCGTAACACGGATACGTGATTTTGATTTAAATTTTTATAATTGCGCGTTGTTTAATGTTTAACAATTCATTAAAAAGAACATGCCTACGGATTATAAACTAAAAGATCTTAATCTCTTTCTAATCACGGAAATCTATTTGCTCCTAACTGACGTATACTACATAATAAATTCTCAGAATGGATTGTAAAAGTGCTCCTAGAAAGGTAAAACTTAATTATATTAAACGCTGGATAGACGTTAATGTTAAATCACTGGAGGCGACAGAATAGAAACGAATATATAAATTATTTACTGATTTTATTTAAACTTTATATTTCGCACGAACTAACAGGCTCGCTGAACTTACAAAGTTTGTCTTTCGACTGCAAAATATACTTCTAAAAAGTTAAAAGATGATTAATTTCGTTGAAGATAACACGAAGAATATAATAAATATAATTAGTTGCAAAATCATTTCAAGTCAGTACTCAATTTTCAAGGACGATGATGTTCTTGGATGATAATTCTGTCTATCTTTGTAACGTACGTTAAAATAATGTCATATCGCTGGCTCGATTGCGTGCATTTTAACAAATATGCTTAACAAGCACACTTTTAATTAACGTGCGGTGCTGATTTTTCATTTTGAGAATACGTTTGGGATCGGCTTTCGATTGTCGAAAACCACGGACGATTGCACAAAGAATGCGTGACAAATCCAAATTGATTACGATTCAAAAGACACGAGGGAAGAAAAAAATATACAAGGGGGTGGGGTGGAGAGTCTAACTGAGCGACAACCTAGTCAATTTATTAAGGTTTAGAAAACGTTAGATTTACCGTATGATATTGTAAAAATTGCGTGGCTTTAAACATAAATATTGTCGAAGTATTATTATTACTAGTCATTATCTGTTTCCTTCTATCTCAATCACTAAATTATACTACTTAATAAGTGCGGAAGTAGTTTCCATCCCCCGTTATGTGCGCTTAACGGCGTTGTAAACGTGATAGTCACATTAATTGCGCATAAAGCAGTCAACAGGATCTATCGGACGGGGGCCGTCGATATTCGAGCGAATTATTTCGACATTCGAATCTATTTGTGTTGATTCATATCACGCCCGCTCTAATCAAACATGCATATTACATGGTGATACATATAATTTTGTACTATGTTACACACATCATGATGCAGTTGCGTAATTATATTTATACGAGTCTATTTGTATTATTTATCATGTAAAAGAAATTAGCGAGCTGGTTTAGGGCCACACCCTCAGAAAGGGTTTCTGTTACTGAGACAAAAAATGTTCTTGACGCATTTATATTTTTTCACAACCTTACTTGGTATAAAAATAAGACAATATCGAAATGAAATCAATAACTCTTATTCTTTTCTATCGAATTAAAAAAAAGATTGACTTACTATATTGAGACAAGAGTAACTTATATAAATGTAAGTTTACGTATTCTTGCGTTTAGAATAAATTTTCCCCCCATCTTACAACGCACGAAGTCGGCACCACGATATTCAACAAAAGACGACCATTTTATTCTAGAGTTTAGAATTTTTCATTTAAGATTAAAATATTCCTTTCTCTATAATAAATATGATTGGCGCTATATCGATCCTATTTTATGATACATTCAAGTGTAATAGCGTTGGATCCGGAAACTTTTTCTGTGGGTGCAGTTTCACGAAGGTCGCTCAACTGCTAACTGGGGGTTAATCGAATCTCTGTTTCTCCTTAGATATAATAATTTAAAAGAAAATAAGGAGTCAACTAATCACTGGTTAACAGTTAATTTATCTCTGGTTAACCGACATCTGTAAACTGGCCCTTGGAGAAGAACAAAGAAAATTAATATTATAAACAAATTTGAAATATTGTTTACATCTTAACTTGTTCGATTACATTAACAATATGTATCCCCGGCGTTTCCTAGCATCTGTCGTAATCTGTCGCAATTTTTATTGATATAAAAAGAAGCGGAGCAGAGAGAGAAGTTTTCGCGAACTATTCGAGTGTAGAAATGATTGAAGCTTGAACTATCGGGCTCCCGAATACTAATCCAGAAAACAAACTGACGTTATTTGTCGTCATTTTGACGATAGATTTGACACTTTTGACGACACTTCGATGTCAAAGTGACGACAAACGACGTCAGTTTGCTTCCTGAGACCAGCGCTCGTGAAAAGGAGCTGTCACAGTTTATTAAAATAGTTACTCGTTACGTAATATCAACTGATTATATTAGAAACGATACAATTGTTGAGCTTGGAAGCACTTTTTTATAGTGAGGTCACAATTAGAGTTACGATCGATTAACGAGATCCTTCCTCGGGCTCGGATCTGTTACTCTTTATAGTGATAATACATTACTATACGGTGATGCAGAATGCATTAATTATATCTCATACTGCCAATCTGTAAACCATCATACGTAGTTTCTAATTAATGACATCGATAGGTAATTTCTAGTTAATGATTACGATAGGGTAGGCGAGGTTTCTTTCGGGACACTTTAACGAATCGTCGAAGTCTCTTTGCGCGCATACTTATCACTTCTGTTCGAAGCAAATCCCACTTTTAGTACAGCATGCGTTTGCACAGATCTTTAAATCACTTCCTATCAGCAATTTTTGTTTCTTCTACAAGGACATTTCGAAAAATATTTAATTAGACTTGGATCCTTTTGTATATTCTTCTTGCAACTGATTAAATATTTTTTTAATCAGTAATGGAAAGATGTGCCACTTTACATCTCGAAAGTCTTCATGAACGCTTTGTAAAAATTATGATATCATCCCAATAATTTGTAAATCTCATGCAAAGGCCGATAGAGATTGTTAGAAATTATTCATGAAAGTTACGATCGCGTTTACGTCACAGTAATTTGCGAAACGAAGATTATTAGAAATTATTTTAACCACCATTGTAGTAGTAATAGATTTATAGTATGACGCAGAGAAAGTTACTCAAGGGTTACAGTGTTTCGGTTTCAATTTTAGTTTTAGAAACGAGGAGCAAACATCAAATTACGTCACGCACAAGGTCCAAAATTAAATACCGACGTAGCTAAACTATTTACCGCTTTTAAATAATAAAATGAGTTATTGTACTAAAACTGGAGGCATACTTTTATTATACATGTATGCAGCATCATTCTTTGCTTTTACAAAGATAATTGAAAAGTAATGAAATCTATTTCGTTTTATTCATTTTAGTGAATTTTATTCGGTGAACGTCGTTACAGAACAATTTCAATTATTATTATATATGTTTATGTATGAATTGATCGAAAGTATGTCATTGTTTATTATATATATTCTCTCGTGCTTTTTAGCTAGCACAAAACTTTACCGCTTAAAATAACAGTGAAAATTATTGTTACTAGAGTTGTCTAATTCTTGCAAAGCGTTAGCGAATTTGTTACGTAAATTAATTAGACGTAAACACACACACGATGTGCAAATCGCGACTGCAAATTAATTACTTTACTGGTGCTTCGATAGTCTTTTCGATTGTTCCGATGCGTAAAATCGATTCATTTCCAATGAAATCGTAACGAGTAGAGCCGAGAGTGGTGTTCCTGTGTTATCATTCTAATTATATCTTAAGGCGATTAGACTTACTGAGACAAAAAGAGATTGCAATAAGCGAAATATCATTGTATTGTTAGCGATTTTCCACATTGGGGTGGCAATATCAATAAATGTTAAATATATCAAATTAAAGATCCCGTCTTGCTGATTTTCCCATCAGACGTTTATTAATGCGAGAAACAATTTAGATGTAAAAATGGATTAATATAAGTAACAGAAGTATAAATATAACAAAAACATAAAAAGAGATTATCATAATTTTTCTCTCATTTGTTACTACAACAATTCATAATACTATGCTTATACACTGCATTCATATATTTGTTACAACATATGTATAAAATTGTTACAAACTTTACAAAAGTAAAATTGTTACAAACTTTACAAAAATACAATTTGTATTTTTCTCATGCGTAAAAAGTGAAATATATTAAATTTTAATTTTTGCAATACAAGAGATATGTACAGTCGGAAAATAATTATAGTGATTTATGGTGAATCAGTCATAGCCATTTAGAAGTCTCGAAGGATTGTACACCTTCAGCTCTCAGTCGGTTAAGAATGGGTCGATATATATCAGGCGTGAAAGGCAGCACCATTCCACGCTGCTGAATTTCACCTAAATGAAATTAGATTGTAAGAATATTAGACTAAATATTAGAATCACAATATTCAATTAATATTTAAAATATTGAGATTCATAATTTATAAATTAAATAAATATGTAAATTATTTAAATATCTTTTTTTTAGAAAATTGTGGTAATTTGTTTATATCGATACATGTGAAAAATTTTTCAGAATCTATTTCTTCTATAAATTTATTGTGTGTATTATTCTTTGAAGCACATACATATATATATTTATTATATATTTTCAAATAATTTAATCATTTAGAATTTTAGGTACTTATTCTCAACAGTACATAATTGCGGTATTGAAAGTTATCTTGCGCGATAAGAGACTAAGCGACAGGTTTAAACAGAGAAATTGAAGAAATAATTATACGAGAAATATCAAAGGAGGACTACGAACCGTCCAGAATCATTTTAGCGGCGATAGCTGCGGGATAACCGACGGTACGCGCCATTGCGGACTGTCCAGAGGCATCGCCATAAATCACCAAGTTTATTCCTCTGGCTTCTCTCCTGTTATCTGGCCAAAGTATACCGACGTCGTGCCTTAGTATCACAAGGTCGCGTTCGTTTTTCTCGTAATAGAGCTTCTTCGACAAATAATGCGTAAGTGTGTCGAGAGGCGTGTTCAGTTTCAAAACCAGATCTTCCTCCAGGAGGCCCAGATCTTCAATGGCCTTCACGCGCTCCCACGAGTTCACTCTTTCCGCCAATTTCTGCTTCAGATTCCCATAAAAGATATTGTCGCTCGCCAAACCAAGCAAGTTGCACGCCAGCAGTCGCTAAAATTTAAATAACGGATAATCGAGACAGATCGACTTTTGTTTGCTATGAAATACTTGGTATACACGTGGGAAACTGACGGCACGCACCCAAGTAATCTCCGGCCCATTTGGGTGTAAAATCGGATGCGGATTTGGATCGATCAGACCGAGCAATTGCAGGCCGAGTATGGTATCCGAGAATCCCCTGAACCTGAGCGTACCACGCAGTACGGTACTCGCGTTTTGCAAGCCATAATAATCCCTGTATATCGTGCTGTCTCGATTAGGAAAGCCCTCCAAGGCGAAGCCCGGAAGAAAGTCCAAGTCCTGCACGGTGGACATCAAATCGCCGCCTCCCGCGATCTCCACTTCCTGCACACAAAAATTCGCGTCACTCTTTTTAACAATTCCAATTTAATTTAACAAAGGCCGAACGATATCTCTTAGAAGTAGATAAAAAAAACACACTTCAAGACTCACCTGGCCCTCGTGAAGATATTTTGCTGGCGCGAGGGTGTTTAACAATGCGCCTCGTGGGGACCAGCTAAATTTGTACCTCAGAGGATTAAAGGAACACTCCGGCGCGGGCAAACCACCGCACCACGAAACGAAAGACTCTATCTTGCCGCCCGCCTGTCTCACATCATCGAAACACTCGATTGCCAAAAGATGATCGATGCCCGGGTCCAATCCGACTTCATTCAGCACTGTAACGCCAGCTTCTTGAGCTCTACACCCCCAAGAAAACGAAATCGTATTTGATATTGTACTGCGGCGATAAGTTATCTCTCTCTCCCCATACAGCACAGATGGTTGCAATTACATTGCAGAAACATTGCAATCTTGCAGAGACATTGCAGGGATATAAAATGGCAAACTTTCGATAGCAATATTGCAGCAATGTTTCAAAAATAATGAAAATACTATATTTTCTATTAAAAAATTTTTTCTAATTACGAGAATTTTATAATGTTATTTTCGTTGATACCAATAATGCGCGAATTATTAAGTACTTGATCAGTACGGTGTTGCTCGCAATCTCCATCTATTGCGAAGCGACATAATCTCCTTAGGTTGCTTCGCAATAGCTTGCTGTGTATTGAAAAAGGCCCGGATGCATATGTAATTAGTAAATTCTCTGCTTATGTACAACAACAAATTATTCTAAAAATATTGCACTGCAACATTACTATAATGTTGCACTGCAATCTCTCTGAGGGCGGACATTTCAACGTTGCAGCAATGTTGCTCAACGTTGCTGCAATATTGCAATCTTGCAATGTAACATTTCTGCAATCTTCCTGCAATCTTTCTGCGCTGTGTGGGTCTCTCCATTAAAATACATTTTCATCAAATTCTAATTACAAAAATGAGAGCGCCGTCATCGATATTACCTAATCCCTAAAAACTGGGAGATTTTATGTACACTGTATTTTATGATAAACTCGCTTATATCGATGCTCACTCTTCGTGCAATGCCTTGACGTCATCGTTCATGTAACTCGCTGTTACCAAGTGATTTTTGGTTTCTATGCAAGCCTTGGCAATGACGTGGTGCAACGAGTATGGCAGAAGGGAGACGACCACGTTCGCCGATTTGATGACGTCGTGCAGCGTGTCGGGGCGATCCAAGACATTCAAGAAAACCGGCTCCACACCTGGGAATCGATTGGCCAGCGCGTCAGCTTCATCCTTCAGCTGCGACGCCACCACCAGCCTTATATTCTTATCCCTGTGCAAATACTCGACCAAGGGTGCGGAAACGTACCCTGCGCCGAGAACGACCACCTGTTGGCACGTTAGCGTAGACAAATAAAACCGTGATTCTATAACATTCTATTAATTTCGGCACTGCTTTAAAACTGTGGCAATTCAGATCATCGGTAGAACCGCGAATGGGTCACTTTTATATTCACGGACTTTTTTTAACTTTATGGTTGTCCAATTGTTTTAAACAGAGCACAACGAAATGTTAAGCGATGATTAAAATAATTAGAGAGCTCAACAAAACCAATGAACATTTCCTACCTTTAATCGGTAAACTAGAATAGACAAGCGAGACAAGTGTCGAATGTAGGCCTGGATCTCTAGGCCTGGATAGCTCAGTAGGAAAAGCAGTCGAAAGGTCCTACTCATCTCCCAGAAGATACACCCACATTTTATTATTATGGATATACTTTCGACGTCGCATGGACTTTGAACGTCTATGCTTTGCGAGTCGTCCAACAAAAAAGATGCAAGCAATACGGCATAGCAGGGCTTCAAACAACAAACAGTACCTCGAAAATCCGACAGAACAAAAAGATAGACGGAGGAACCGATAAAATCCTACAGTAATTTTAATAGTGAGTCGACCTATCTGCGGTTCTAGGTAAATCTGGAGTTTTCTCAGAAAAGTTTGCGCCTCGTGGAAGATAAAATTACTTGTGGATGTTGAAGTTAGGGAAATCTAACCCTCCAGATGAAAATCCAAAGAAATGAGGAGTAATCCGTATTTTTTATTCCTTGTGTTTTCGGGGAGATAGGCATTTTAGATGTGCCTCGTGATAACTTGTTGAGCAAGAAAAATAGTAGGCAAAGACAGTATTCAAACCTGAACTCTTTCTACTGAGCTATTCAAACCCATACTCGACACTTTTCTAACATACCTACGCTATTTTACCGAATAAAGTAGGAAATGTTCATTGCGTATTGAATTCTCTAATCATTTTAATCGCACTGATGAATATTCGCGAGCTCGTCTAACTGTCTGACAATTTGTTGTCGTGCTATTATAGCTAAATCTGTCACTGGAATGCAGAAATTGCAATTATTCCAAATTGTCGTTAATATGCTTACTATATTTTTACAGTAAACCTTTTGGCATGTGTGTGTGGCATGTCTGGCAATGTATAGGTCAAAATTGTAGAATTTTCGCATCGGATTGTAATCTAATTTTAAAGATATAAACTATTTTTAGTGGCGAAGGCGAAAGAGATTGTTTCACCGTTTTACTCTGCTGTTCTCCGTTATCGGCTTTGTGCCTGCTACGTTGATTCAGCTGCCTGAGTTCTTGAATGTACTCGAAATTGGGCGTCAACTTCCCGTTGGACGCGATAATGGCGCCATGCACGGCGGGGCTAAAGTTGTGCTCGTCTAGCGGCCTTTTCGCGTCCGACTGTATGATGTCCAAGGCGTATGGATACAAAAGGTTGCCAAAGAAATCTGTCGCTTCCCTCGGCAGTTGTGTGGGCATATTGTCGATCGAGCAAACCAACACGCCCGGGCCCTTGAAGGACTTCGTGTCTTTGTTCCGGTCGGCATCGTACAAGCAAAATGGCGTGTCGATCGTCGTGCACTCGTTCATGAACCTTGCGTAAAAAATCAACAATTATATAATTCTAATCATCTCATTGTTATTGAAAAACGAGATAAATTAAAGAGCACAATCCATATCATAATTATCTAATTGGAAACTTTTACGTTTACAAGGAAACAGTATACAATCCCTGATGAAAATTATTCTCAGAATTTTTATATAATTTTTTGTATTTTTTATGGAAATTTCAGAATTTTTCAATAAGTTTATAATTTTTAAGGAAAATGTTTCAGATTTTTTATACAAATTGGTACATTTTTCAAAAGTGCTGAGAAAGTTTATATCTTTTCTAGAATTTTCCATATGTGCCCAGTGAGAAATGATTCGTCGATCGACGTCGAAATGATGTCGAATCGATGTCGTTTCGACATGATCGACGAATCCTTTCTCACTGGGAATCTGAAATATTCTGAGAGTTCTCATCTTAATAATTTCAGATATCGTAATCTCTTATAAGATTTGCAACAGTTTAAGATATTTTTCAGAAATTAAAAAATGAAAAATCTTAGAAATAGAATTTTTTAGAATATTCACATAGAGGAAAGTCCTCTATTATGAGATAAGATTGTAATGTGAGATAGTAGATTTTCAAGGTCCAAATTCGATCTCAAATCTTTTGTCGCAACGATTACACGACCTAACAATCACTTTACCACTGAATAGATTTCACTCTAAGGGTAATACAATTCATGGTGGAACCAACAGACGATGCCTATTAATTTAGCAGAAACTCCGCTATCTCATATTAGGAGCCTATCGCACACATAATAGGGGACTTTCCTCTATATGAAAAATTCTGAGAAAAGAAGTAGGCTTTCTCAGTATTTCTGAAATCAGTGTGTGAATTTGTACAAAAATTCCGAGAAAAATCTTTACCAGAGATGCCAACAGTGTTTTGATGCTATTATAAATTTTCATTGCATAATTATAAATTGTCATATTATTTATGAATTATAAAATATGATAATCGTCTAATTATAACAAGTATACCGTCATAATAATAATAAACATATTATTGTTTATTATAATAAATATAATTGGTAAATGATATAGGTGCAGAATTTTACAGCCGCCGGAGACTCTTCCTAACAAACCCCATACAGCACGGATAGTTGCAATTACATTGCAGAAACTTTGCAATCTTGCAGAGACATTGCAGGGATATAAAATGGCAAACTTTCGATAGCAATATTGCAGCAATGTTTCAAAAATAATAAAAATACTATATTTTCTATTTAAAAAATTTTTCTAATTACGAGAATTTTCTAATGTTATTTTCGTTGATACCAATAATGCGCGAATTACTAAGTACTTGATCAGTGCGGTGTTGCTCGCAATCTCCATCTATTGCGAAGCGACATAATTTCCTTAGGTTGCTTCGCAATAGCTTGCTGTGTATTGAAAAAGGCCCGGATGCATATGTAATTAGTAAATTCTCCGCTTATGTGCAACAACAACAAATTATTCCAAAAATATTGCTATAACGTTGCACTGCAATCTCTCTGAGGGCGGACATTTCAACGTTGCTGCAATCCTCTAGAAACGTTGCAGCAATGTTGCGCAACGTTGCTGCAATATTGCAATCTTGCAATGTAACATTTCTGCAATCTTCCTGCAATCTTTCTGTGCTGTGTGGGACGCGAGTGCACGTACTCGATGCTGCCGCCCGGATCCGCAGATATATCGCAGATACCGAGCATCCGGTGCGGTAGAGCGGGCGCGCCGACGCTTATCGGCAGCCAAGGTGTATTAGCGGGCCTGAGGAGGTACTTTGCGTCCGGGATCGTTAACAGCTTCGGTGAATCCACCGCCCAGTATATGCCGTTGATGATGACCGAGGCGTATGGCGCTATCTTTTTGCTGAAAGTGGAGATGTACAGCTCTGGATGCTGGTCGTACTCCTCGGGATCGAAACCGCCGCCCTCCTTCCTCTCCAGGTGATGCCTGCGCCGCACCTCGCAGCCGTATATCTTCGTCGTATCTGGCACGATTTGAAGAAGAATATAGATATCGAATACCCGATAAGAGATACCGCTGTGATAAATATTTTTGTTTACTCTACACGACGGTGGATTCCACGAGTCTTGTGCAAAGAATTTTATCGTGGAAAAAAAGAGAAGAGAGAGAGATATACACAGTGATGCAACAGTGGCGAGAAAATTGAGACACGCCTTCCGATCGCGAAGCTATGAAGACTAATAAAAATCGTACAACGCGATATAATGATTGTCCAATAATTATTTCATGTCAAACAATGTAAACTGAACGGCGAGTAAAAGTGTTCGCCGATAAAGAAATCGTGAAAGCCGCTTCCAGGTTTTCTAGAAGACGGTTTTACAGATGTTTTGACAGAGGAGCAAAGCAGTTCTCCGCGTATTTTCTAATTTTGAAAACAAATTTACAGTTTTATTTACCACTCGAAATCTGTATTTTAAAAAAGCGGAGAACCATTTGGTCTCTTTATTAATCAGACGTCGACTGTAAAACTTTCGAGTCATTCTGTAAAATCATTTTCAAGAAAAATTGAAAGCGGTTTTGATATGTAATATTCTGCGATTCAAAGAAACCCCGAGAAATCGGGCGAAAAGATATGAGTTTCGGAATTGGCTCGGATGACGATTATAATGTTTGCGAGATGACATAAAAAGCGATAAGACGTGCCGCGAGTTGCGAAACGCCGGCGCCGTCGCCGCGGGTTGCAACATACCGCCGTGCTCGGCGACCTTCCGCAGCATTTCGGGCGGCACGTATTCGTGGGGCAGCTCCTGGAAGACCTCTTGGCCACCCTGACTAACGTTGCCGCTGCCCGTAAAGACGAAGGTCAACGGGCCGATCGACTTCGGCATGGCGCCCAGCGCGATCTCGTATCCCGCGCCACGGATCGCCTGGCGTGCCATAGCCGAGTCCCTATAATTATGCGCCGGTCCGATGTGCTAATCAAACGATCATTGCGATTAATCAATTGGCCTGATATTTTCTACGAGTCAGCAATAGTGCTAGATCTCATTCATCTCTTGCGCGCGGTTCTTGATAATTGCTTGTCGCATGCACCTAGTTTATTTTATTTTTTTCACTACTGAAGGAGGCGGAGGGATAGAATAAACAACACGTTATCGATTAGATAATACCTCCTTAACGATTACTTAATACCACGAGATGACATTTATCTACGTTTTCATGGAATTTTTATGTTACAAAGATAACAGAAATGGGTGATTCTAAATTTTTATACACATATATAAAGAAAAGCGAAGAAGACTCAACTCGTTTATGCTAAATAAGTAAGTAAATGTACACATGACAAAAACGAACAAAACTAGATATTAGGACAAGACGATAATAAATTAATTGAACGAATCCAATGGTTAAGTTTCAACATAACATTAAATTTAGCTCAACGGCAATTCCAAGGTAAAACGAAACGTTTATAATCGGTTCCAGAATATATAAGCATACCATGAACGGAGTATGGTGACCCAAGGCTAGCAGCCTCAGGCCCAAACCGTGAAGTATGTTCACCATACCGGCGACCCCGGCGTATTTGCCAAAAGCCACCACTCTCTGGCCATTCGCATCCGTGAGCTTCTCGTAGTCTAAAAGACGTATATTCTTCTCGAGGAGCGCGTCCAGGAGAGGCATATTACTCTCCTGGGCTTTGATGGTGTGCGAGAAGCAGCAGTACGTCTTGTTGGGTATCAGCTGGTCCACGGGTACCTGCTTGACGCCGAAGATGACGGAAGCTGAGCTGATGTCCTCCTGCAGCAGGGCGCCTGCTGCCTGGTAGGCCTGGGCGGGATACGCCCTTCGGTTGCTGGGCTGCACAATTACCTTCACGCCCGACCTCACGAGGCGACGTACGTTCGCTGGAGCTAGCGGTGCCCTCCTCTCCCATACTGATTGATCCTCTCGTCTTATAGCTATTATTTTGCCCTTAAGATTCTAAAAAGATTTCATGACAAAGGAACGCACAGCTAAAATATGCTTTACGCGCGTCAGTGCGACGATTCGTTTAAGAAACACCTGCTTCCTCAAATGGCATAGCCCCACACAGCACTTGTGTCAGAAAGATCTCCTCAAGATGTCTTTTTAAAGATAACTTTTTGAGTAATGAAAAATAGATGTCTACCAGATAAATATATTAAGATGTTATAAGAGGTCCAAAAGATATCTTGTTTGAGAGATTTCTTATATAAGATATCTGAAAGATATATTTTCAAGAAAATTTAATAAATCTCTTCAAATCGACATTAAAATGTCATCTTAAAAACGACTTCTTTAAGCTATCTTTCAAAAAAGCTCTTTATGGTATTTTACTTATGATGTTTATTTAATGTTAATATGGGAAAAATGTCAAAGTTCCCGCTAGAGGGACGCGTGGCATAGTAATTTCTCGTAAAGAAAAACCCACAAGTGATATTATAAATTGATACACCCGCATGAAAGTTTTTATCTTTTCTCTGATGTTAAAGTGAGTTCTTTTACCCCATACAGCACCAAACCTTTCAGAAACATTTCAGAAACATTGCAACATTGCAATGTAATATTGTAGAGACGATTCAGAGACATTCAATTGTAATATTTCGCCGACAATGTTTCAGTAACCTTGTAGAAATATTATAAAGTTTGTAAAATATATTTGTAACGTATATTATGATATTCTTTAGATTTTTCTAATTTATATTATTTCTCATATATTCCAAACGCAGCCTAATAGCATGTATAGCAACGCTACTTGATAGTCTCGTAATTTCCGATATTGCCGGTATCGGTCTTCTTCGTCCACGTTGTCCATGTTCAAAGTGTATCTTCGCGACCTCCAACGTGTCTCTTAACGATATCACTCTAATCCACGGTAATATCTATTCCTATATAAATATATTAAAATAAACCACAAATTTGATAATTTTCTAACATGTAAAGTACTTCAGATTTTAATAGATGAAGTTTGAGAATATATGACATCCGATAAGAATAAGATAAGGATAAGAAAAAATGTTGCAAATTTTTCTTATACACTGGTCAAAAAAATTAACGCAACAAGTTTACATCAAAATTTCGCGAATTTCAAATAAGCGTAACTTCGCGAAAACTGGTCGAATTGAAAAGTTTTTTTTCATTTTATAGGGCAAAGCCTCTGCTTTAAGAAGCTCTTATTGGAATTTGTATTCACTCTTCCCATTTCCCGGAACTTTCTCAAAATCAAGATCATGTTTTTTTCTCTAAAAAATTGCACACTTTGACGCACTGTACGGAGTGTAATAATTTTTCTTCGCCAGTTCTGCTTACGGTATCAAAAAGTGTATACTTTTCTCTTCAATTTAAAAAAAAAGAAGTTTCTACGATTTTTTTCGCCAAATCACAGTGTATATATCTCTTGGGTGTCTTTACATTCTCAAATTTTATTTATTAGGTTGTTCGAAAAGTTCGTTTCAAATTTCCCACGTATTGTACATATACAGGAAATTTAAAACAAGCTTTCCGAACAACCTATTAAAATCTTAAGTATCCTGTATATTTATATAAATAACGCATAATAAAATCAATATTACAAATACATTGCACGTGTCATTGTTGCAATGTTACATTGTAATATATCTGAGGGAGGACATTTCAATGATGCTTCAAGCTTGCAGCAACATTGCTGAAACATTTCGCAACCTCCATGCAATGTTACAATGTTGCAGTAAATAAAGGTGTATGCGATGTTTCTGTAGTCTTCGGTGCTGTATGGGACTATACGATCTCTTATCTACACTCGTATGATTTTCCTTCACACTATTTCTATCCTTTACACTGTCAAAAATTTCCTTTAAACTGCTTTTAAACAATGTCTCACCAAAGGCTTGGCGTTTTAAACATCTCAGAATATATGTCTTATTGACATTATATAAACATGAATTTAAAGATATCTAGTTTGAGATGTAATATTGATCTCAAAAAATTTTTTTAGATGACTTTGAAAGAAGTCTTTTATTTCTCTGCAAGTGGCGCATAAGAGCCCTTTCTGACTTCATTATATTGTCTTTCTGAAGGATGTCGAAATCTTAAATGAGAGAACATTGAGAAATCGTTTTGTTATCAGCTTGCTGTGTGGAAGGTAATCATTAAGAAGTAAAAGAAATTCACTTTTTAAATTCTTTATGAACTGTGTTCGAACTGAACTCCAAAAAAATTCCTTTCCAGTGCGAACTTTTATAAAACAAAGTAGCACAAAAGGAATTCTGAAAGTGAATTTTTTTTCAACACTTAAGAAAGTTTTCAAAACAGAAACGGAATGAGAAAAGAATTTACTTTCTAAGTCGGGAAATGAAGAATTCTTTTTGGATTCTCTTTTTGCTGTCTGGGTACATATTCGGATCACCGGACGTTTAATTTGAGGGTCAACGGAAGAAAAGGATAAAGAAATTATTTTATTCACGGCTCGATTTCGGAAACGAAGGAAGATCGAACTTTCAATAAAATTTAATCAACGTTTTCTCTCATGCCCACGTAATTTCCGCAAGAACGTACGATCTGTCAGTCATCGGCTCGTGATCGATTATACACCATCGAAATTATGCCACGTGGAACGCATTGTTTCGAACGTGGCTAGATGCTTACGCTGATACATCTGGCGTTATGGGTGACAGCACGAGTCACGGCGGTCAGCAGATGACGTGATTCACGTCCAGCCTTGATCAACCCCAACATCCGCATTACACCTTGGTCGATGCTGATTTAGCAGCAGCGGTGTAAAGGTCACTCTTGTCGAGAGGAATCCACCAGTTGAAACCGATTCACGGCGATCGCGACGACTGGAATGACACAAATCTCGCTTGTGTGTTCAAACTGTTATTAAATGTTTCCACTGTGTTGGCAATATATTACTGTGCTGCACTACACGTATGTGTTTGTTGGCTGTTGGGTCAACGAGAATGTCAGAAAGTATTGCAAAATCGTCGATAAGCCCGCAGCCATGCTCTTATCAACACCGTAAGACCCTCTGACCGTACTGGCGGTACTATTGAAAGGAGCTTACGGTGCACTACGGAAAAATCAGGTTTTCTTTTCACGCGCGCGTTTATCGCTGCCGGTCTGATAATGACGACACGCGCACACCAAGCGTACAATCGTAAACAATAGACTTGTCAAGCGTATTAAGCTAGTATCCCCAACAGTTCGCCTTAATCAACCTATTTGAAGAGAGCATGGAGTCGAGACAAAAAGCCTTTGCAATTTCGTAAAACTTTTATATACAGGTACAGCTTCGTGGAGTCATTACAGAGAACGGCATTGTGTAACTGAACAAACGCTGTACACATGTAATCTCGAACAATCGTGAACAACTAGATGCCTCATGTGTGCACTGATATCAGTTGGATTGCGCCTTGATTGATAAATACATTTTGTTCTTGATAGTTTGCTTGGTAGGATTTATCTTCTTCAGTATTTGAGTCATAATGTTGACAAGTTGCTCGGATGTGAGGCCAGTTTTCTTGGATTTAAATTTCTGCAACAGCTCGGTCGTCGTCATCGGCTTGCGCATTAAGTATCGCCTCACTGCATCCTCCGTGATTCCCGATTCGCTGAAAGATATAAAACAATTACAATTATAAAAAATACAACTAGCGCACGCTTGTACATTGTCTAACGCAAAAGCAGACATACTTCGCCCCCGGTATATACGACGTTACTGGAACCAGGTTGAAATTATCGAGTTTCAATTTTTTCGCTTGCGACAAATCGGGAGAGCCAGATTGCTTTCTCTTGAGAGAATCCGAGACACCGGACGTTGCAGGTGTTGGCGTCGAGCATCTTGAACTATGTGCACTGTTCGGTTTCTTGTTGTCTTTTAATGTTGTATCGGAATCCGAATCCGAGTCGCTGGAGAAATCGCTAGACGAATCCTTTCCCGACACTGATTTCTTCTGATCCTTTTTCTTGGCTTTCTTCTTCTTCTTCTTGTCCTTCCTTTTGTCCATTTCTTTACCAAGCTTGTCCTTATCCTGAAACAAAGTACATTAGAAATATGGGACAAAGTAGTTAGCGAACAATGATAAATGCGGTGGAATAATTCACGTCGTTTAAAGAATACGATGCAACATGTGCACAATGTACATGTGTTTATCAAGGCAAATGTCATAATGTTATGTTACTTTATCGTCCTTTTCTTTTCCTTCCTCGTCTTCGTCCTTATCTTCTTCTCCGTCCTTCTTATCTGTTTGTTCCTCGTCGTCTTCGTCTTCGTCAGATGCGAGCAATTTCCTCAACGCGTCCTCTTCCGCGACAGACTTCTGTTGATCGTCCGATTCGGAATCGGAGGAATCAGAAATATAATCGCATTCTTTTCCCTCCTCATCGCCGTCGTCGCTCTCCTCGAACGCCTCATCGTCCGAGACATTTTTCTTCTTCTTCTTCTTCTTTTGTTCATCTGGGATATTCAATTAAACTATACAGTGTATCCGTCTGTAATACACAATTAGTATAGAAAAGTCCTCTATTATGAAATAGCAGGTTTTCAACATCCAAATTCAATCGCAAATCTTTTTTGCAACGAATACACAATCCAACAATGAATTCTCCACTAAACAGATTTCACGGGCAATAAATTCACAATGGAATCAACCGAAGATGCCTATTAATTTCACAGAACCCCGCTATCCCATATTAGGATCCTATCTCATAATAAAAATTAATATGTGAAGTTGTAGACAATCACGTTCGTTACCCTTGTCCTTCTTGTTATTTTTTCCATCCTCCTCCTCCTCAGAGCCCTTCTTAGTCTCGTCCTCGTCGCTGCCCGACTCATCGTCGTCGCTGTCCATCCACTCGTCCATCTCCGAAATCTTCAGTTCCTTCTCCTTCTTACCCGGTTTCTTGCCCTTCCCAACTTCAACCAACTCTTCCTCGTCCCCGCCATCCTCATCGTTCCTCAATCTCTTGCGCAGCATCAGCGAGAAGTAATTCATCACCTTATTTCTACGACTGAACTCCTGCTCCGCCTCCTCGGCGCTGAGTGCCTTGTACCTCTGAATCGGCTGAAAATTATACCTATACGAGGAAGTGTGACTTTTGAGTATTCATCAGTGAATTATCCAATACACAACGCCTACCATTCGTGTAAAGGAAACGCTTCTATGGCGCCGTCAGCAGCATGCGTGAAGACATAGTAAGCAGCATTTTCGCTGACTCCCCCCTCCCGGATGCCTTTGAACTTCTTCCCAGTTTTTCCACCCGACTTCAAAATCCACGGCTGATCCTCCGGCTTGTACTTTCTGCTGGTGATACCGTATTTCTTTCTCCTGGCTTCCTCCCTGGCGTCACGCCCAAACTCGGATCCGGCGCCGAACTTGGGCATTTCCTCTTCTATGCCCTTGTACTCCTTCATATTGTTCTCCCGTTCCATCTTCACTTGAGTCCACTTTGAGAAATCTACGTTCAACGTCGCGTTGAACCTCATGACATTGTGCTTCTTCTTGCTATTTCTAAAAGAGCCCACAGTAAATCGACCTCGACTTAATGCCTGTTGCAATGACGTAAATGAAGGAACAATGGGAGTGTCGTGCGTCGTCTACAATGCGTGCGGTAAACCTGAAGTAAGGAGTAGAAGTAAGGAAAGAAATCAGTTTTACTTCTTACTCCTACTTGAGCTCGATACTCACTCTGGGCGAGTCAGAACGCCATCGGCCAGTGTTATTCTGCCTGTACCCACACAGCATAGAAAGATTGCAAGAATGTTACATTGCAAGATTGCAATATCGCAGCAACGTTGCGCAACATTGCTGCAACGTTTCTGGAGGATTGCAGCAACGTTGAAATGTCCGCCCTCAGAAAGATTGCAGTGCAACATTATAGCAATATTTTTGGAATAATTGTTGTTGTACATAAGCAGAGAATTTACTAATTACATATGCATCCGGGCCTTTTTCAATACACAGCAAGCTATTACGAAGCAACCTAAGGAGATTATGTCGCTTCACAATAGATGGAGATTGCGAGTAACACCGCACTGATCAAGTACTTAATAATTCGCGCATTATTGGTATCAATGAAAATAACATAAAATTCTCGTAATTAGAAACATTTTTTAAATAGAAAATATAGTATTTTCATTATTTTTGAAACATTGCTGCAATATTGCTATCGAAAGTTTGCAATTTTATATTTCTGCAATGTCTCTGCAATGTCTCTGCAAGATTGCACTGCAATCTGCAAGATTGCAACGTTTCTGCAATGTAACTGCAACCATCTGTGCTGTATGGGTAGTTTAGTTTCCTTACACCAAGAGCTAAAGGTGACTGTTCTTTCTCACTCCTTATGCCAGGCTTAGCCTAATATTACATTCAAACGTGTCAATTGACTGCGGAATAGATCATTTCAAGAGACCCGAGGACTTTTCTATAGTCAATCAACACGCTTGAACATTTTGTCGTGCGACAAATGCAATACTAGCCATATTCCACGCGTTATAGACAATGCGTTGAACGATACTAACTTTGGTACTCGAATGCTGAATTCCTGTACCGATGGCGCAACGGCAGGCTGGAAAGATATATAATGTATGCATGTAATATTAGTATAAAATATATAATATTAAAAATGACATAATTCAATCTCTAATGTCCATTTCTACCAGTGCAGCTTAACCTTGATCTCGGTTCAAGTTACTTTTTATCTTTTTCTAGTTTCTGGAATTGGAGAAAAGGACTTAGTTGGATCGGAATTAAAATTAATCTGCACTGGTAGAAACGGGGCGTACGAGAATAACGCGCGTTCTCCTCGCGTACACAATTACAGTAACATAATCTATTCCACTGATGCAGCCTGAAACTTGTTAAACTCACCTTCGAAACTGTACTTGAATTCATGTCGTTACTTGCTAGAAACTTTCACGATTTAACACTGCGGTTTAACGATTTAAAGGAATGTGTTCTTGACTTGTCCGGAATACAACATGTACCGTTACAGCGAGATCAGACTTCAGAGGCTGAACGGCTCAACGGCTCAACGGCTCAACAAGCTATGACACTTGACAGTCATAGAGCTATTACAGATAGAGGGAAGTAGGTATGGGACGACGTGTAAGCGCATGCGATAGTGGGATAAAAAGAGAACGTTGCAATAGAGGCCGGTGTGTCACTGTCTAACAGTCACGCGCATGCGCGTAACGTGTGCGCTTGTAGGCAGAGTGTGTCTCTTTCTTTCTTATAAAAGCATCTGGAAAGAGAAAGATACGCTTTGAACTAGGCAGTTAGGATGGTTAGGCATTAATGACGCCGTGTGTATATAGTAATTACAAACTAATTTGCAAAAGTCAGAACAAATTATTCATATATTTTTACAGATATTATAGTAAAAGACTATATGTTAAGTAATTTGTTTTATAAATTTTTATCTTTATTTAATATTATGTATAAAATAAATGTACTGGAAGTTAATTGTTTTAATATTATTTCATATAAAATTATACTTTTTGTCCACTTTACAACGCTTTCTGTAAACTTTACAGCCAAAATAATTTTTTTACTTTTGTCAGCATACTTATTAAATAATAATAATAAAATAATACAGAAGAATGGCTCTATGATAATAAATGTATTTATTTTCGTATAAAGTAATAAACAATTAAATTATGAAATAACATTCATACTAATACAATTCAATTGTTTCTTATTGTATATAAATATATTATCTGTATTTGAAAACATTTACATAGTATTATCTGTATTTGAAAACATTTACGCTAATTATGATGTATTATCACATTTTTACTTATTATCTATTCTTAAATCTAAATCAATTAAGTATGTAATAATAATGCACTCAAACTTATTTACTGTCC